CAAGATGTGAAAAGAAAAAAAGGCACGAGAAAAACATTGCTTTACAAACCTTAAGACCTAATAAAAAATTAGATATTTTGTATATTAAAGCATTGTAATGTTTACTGATAAACTGCCAAATATTGTTAACATTCACTTACTAATTTAAAAGTTATAGCATGAAAACTATAACAAGCACAAAATGGTTACGAGGTCAGTCCAATGAATCAAGCCTGGGTTGAAAGAGTTAATTGCTTAGACCCACAGCTGACCGGATTAACAGGACTGGACTGCATATCATATCTCAAAACTATTAAGTAATGATTCGGTTTGCTAAAATTGCCATGTTTTTGCTTATTAACCAAAGTCACCATCTCTGTTTTAATGTTCATTGCACATCTGTAGTTTGTAGACATAATTCAGATGCATCATGTAAGTGTAGCAGTGTTCTCTGATATGAAACATTAACTTCCTCCAGTCATATAGGTATATCAGAGAACATGTTTGAATTTTTGTGTTATTCCTCTGTTTCAGATCAAGACCTGGTTCAGCCCTTGTGTCTGTTTTGATGGAAGGCCCGTTTTGGTTTTATCATTCACATTTTCAGTTCTAAATATAATGCATCTTCTTATTTGTGTTCGATGGAGGACCTTGTTCAGTTCTTGTGTTGTTTTTGCCCCCTACTGTTTCAGGTATTATGGAGTTCTGTTGAAAAGTGTTGTTAACTTTTTGTATTATCCCACTGTTTAAGATCAAGAACTGGCTTTAGACCAAGGTATGTTGCAGCTTGTGTGTATGTTTTCTGGTGGAGGATCTGTTTCATGTCAGAATGTGATTCAGTCCATGTGTCTTTTGTTGAAGGGCCTACTTCATTTCTTGCTATAAAATGACATGAACAAGTATGGTTGTAAATCACATTTATGACCTCCTGTGGAGTCCCAGGCTTTAGTCTTATTGGGAGTCACATTTCACAACTTCACTAGTCATCTAATTCTTCTGTATATTATGAATATAGAAAAGTCTGTTTTTTCTCATAGAATATTTCATTATTCCTGATTAGCTGTCCTGGGGCTAACAATGAGGAATGGCTGATATTGAGTCGTTCAGTTTTGTCTTTGAATCCTAACAATAGGACTGTATGTGTGCAAGTTTACAGAGTCACATGCCATACCTTTGGACTGTCACTTTATCTATTTGACTGTGTTGTCTCTCTATGGTTTGTCACAGTACCTTCCTTTTTTGATAGAAATGCATGACATCCAATAAAACAGTGAGTACCTTAGCTGCATTTGAAAATAAAAAAAATGTATTTGAACGATATATTCTAGAGTATACAAGGGTATGTTTGTGCTTGATACACTGGGTATATATTTGTACTTGTGACATCCTGTGGATTAAGAATAAGAAAAAATATTGAAGTTACAGTTAAAAAAATGGCTTCCTTTTGTCCCTGCTTTCTCATTATTTCACTCATTTAAATTACAATGAAAGATCATGTGTAAACCAAGCTTGCAGATCAGGAGGAGCATTTGTATTACATATGAATCAGAGTTAGATGATTGTATGATTAAATTTCAGTTTTGAGAGAAGCACTACTAAGGATTAATGTCTTTCAGACACATTCTTGATCAATTGTCAATCTTTCTAAAGAAGTGAGCTCTAGTTGATAAAGTATTTTTACTGAGGAGCAGTTATTTATATTAGACTAAATTTTCAGTAGGATTAAGAAGGTAAACTTTTCCTGACATGTTTAAAATCATGTATTTCACATACTTTTTAACTACTTACAAACAATATCATTCCATTAATAATGCACTCTCATCACTAACAAAAATAGTAACTGCTCAGAGAGCATTGCTTCTTCTACTAACCAATGAAATCATTATATTTGAAAGTCAATACAAGATAACCAAAAAATAATTTAACATCACTACTGAGGATCAAATGCTTTTTTAAGAGAAATTATAATAGTGTGGAGGAAAATTGACAGTAAAGTTTTTTATTGACGTATTTGTTACAGAGAGATGATGGAACGGTTTCTGATAGAACTTATCAGACTGATAACTCTCAAGAAGATGCTGTCTTTACTAAAAGTAAGTAAATATATAGTAAAGTTTCATTGTATTGCACCTAAGGTGCAAATTGATCTGACTCAGCACTGAAAACTTATTCAGAAAAAGGTGTTTTTTTTTTACCCAGAGTAGAAAGTAAATTTCTCTTTCACAATTTTTTCATTAGTTTTCCATCAATTTTTTGGTATTGCCATTTTAAAAGATAGGATTTGGATTGTACTTATGTTTCTGTATCGTTCAAATTGAGATCATTTAACAGGTTTGTAATATAATAATACAGGATTCGTAATTTAATTAAGTATTTAATTTTTTTCAAGCTCTTAAAGTTCTATATGAAAAATAAAACTTATTATAGTATAGCAATAATAATGGTAGGTGTATTGTAAAATATTTATCTCATTAGTATGAAAGAAAAAACGCTGTTACTACAATAAATGCATCTGGATACCTGTAGATGGCAGCACAGTTTAGTAAATGGTGAAGCCACACGATGCCTATATTTGGCGATAGTTCTCCCGAGAGCCATGTTTTTGAATTCATGGGAGTTTAACAGTCCAATTCAAAAATTTAATATTGATCACTAGCGGATTAGAGAGGGGGGGGGGGGAGCTTCGCCCCTTTCTGATAATTATTTTGCGCCCTCTTTTAGCATTAAATAATTTAAACAAAAAATTTTATTTCCTGTCTCTCCTATCTGAAGGCCAATAATTTTAGTGTTTTGAAAACAAATAAGTTGCAAAATCAGTTGGCTATTTTATGTTCTTGTCTGCTCTAGAGAATTACTGGTGATTTTCAATAAATGTGGCAACAATCATTATACCATCCCTTATCAAACGTTGTGTTTGTAGAAATTTGTAGACCTTAAAACATTTTAGACGGAATTAAATGAATACAAACTAGTTCTGTGTAGAATAATATCCAATAAAAATGTGATTTTCAAATAGTTAGGTGTATGGTACATTTTGATTATAGAGTAGTTTTTCTACTGCTGTTTTATGCGCATGTTCATAGGAAATTAATTATACTAACATATTTCCATATCGTGCAATCAGAAACTTGAACCGAATGGAGATAGCAGTTCAAGTTGAATGTTTAGTGAAATATTTTACGTTCCAGTTTTATTACGGATCAATAGATATATCGGTTTATTTTACCTGATATATAATTGATATAACTTGTTATATCTACATAATACATCTTAGTAACATCTGCCTATCAGGTACGCACATTATGAATTTGCAGTCAGTTTATTTATTGATTTTTTTTACGAAATGTATAGGATCAATAGATGTATAATTTCCCCTTCATGTTTCATCGCAAACTCGCATGATGCCTAAACCATTACGGGTTGTAAGCCAACAATATTATATTTAAGTTTGATGAATCGTCTGGCTGCATCGATTCAAGTGATGTATGCTGAAATTATATGGCCCACATCCAGGCGACCGCCCCCCCCCCCCTTCCAAAATCCTAGATCCGCTACTGGACTTGATAAATCCACATTATAGCGTACTTGAATGAAGTCATGTGTCTTGAAAAATGTATTCATCAGATACCTTATGGATAATAAGATTTAGGTTGATTGCTATAATATTAGAGTCTGGTAACACTTAATGAACTCAGTGAGTTTTGTGTATATAGTTAAGAGAGAGTATTCCTATGTTTACTGTATATTATTTATAGCATGTCTGTTAACTTACGTCCATGAGATTTCAAAAGGGTTTAATTATGACACAAAACAATAAACTTCGGGATGTAAAATAAAAGTCTGGATGAAATGACAGAATTTGTCGAAACATAATGTGATTCAAAGTGTTTCTAACCATCATTACGTGAAATTTCATGAATTCGTAACACGCGCCCATCTCCACGTAATGACTGTGATAAAATCAATGTAAACCTAGCAAACATTAAGGTAGTGCTTATTTACTCTTTTAAACGGAAATACTTCTGAAAATACTACACAATTATCGGTTAATTTTTAAGAAACGTGTATTGTAATAATACCTTCGATAGTATTCTGTAAAAACCTCCAGGTTTCATAGAACAGGAAACTGATTAATATGGATTAAAAACAAAATCCTATTTTATGTCATAAAAATATTCAAAATAATTAAAATGCAAAAGTTCCAGTGGCAGCCAGAATGAAGTTTGATTTCGCACTTCAGCTACGTGATATTGAAAATAACGTTTTATATAATACCTATATAAATAGAGATCCAAAGGATAACTGAACGTTCTTATGAAAAACTGACCTAACCCACAAATCATAGACTGGAATAAATGATCGAAACATTTCGTTTTTCGTTTGTTTTTTTTTAACTCGTTAACGAATACCAGATATATGTTAGGATATAACATTTTCATACGTGTAAATTATTCATTATTCAAAAAAGGATAATTAGTTGTTTAGGTCATTTTTTCTTAACGTATATTTCCCATTACTGCTATTTTTTAAAAATGTCAAGAAACGTAATAATAAACACGGGGATAGAAATAATAAAATAAAATTATTCTTACTCGAGGGAAACTATCGGGAAGATTACATTCCCTCGTGAATTGTTTATTATTATTAAATCCATGCAATATGTTCACTTTCACTGGTCATAACTAAAGGAATACGGATGGACCATGCATTCCCAATCAGGAAAGACAACTAAAAAGATGCAATTCCTCAGGAATGCAGGAATGTAATGTTTTGATCCCTGTACATTAAAAATTATGCACACACAGATGAAAAGTTAAGAAAATAACTAGATTTGATGTTGAAATTTAGTGTGTTGATCAATGTCAACAGTTTTATAGAGATAGAAAGGGCAGCTTATTTTATTCTGCAATACCCAGTGTTAAATATACATTTAACACTGTAATACTATGCTTCTTCAAATGAGCAATGTAGTTAGATCATGTTTCATAACAAGATATTTAAAAACTACCAAACTGAAGCTACAAAGCACATTTATAAAACAACCTAATGTTTGAAGTGCAGTTTCAGTTTTGTGAAACTTTCATATCAACACCTTCACTTAACATTAACTGACTTCTTGAAAAAATCAGAAGTATGACATCCTCGTAAAGCTGTGTGTAAAAAGGTTTGAACGGCAGTTTGTGAAAGGAGTATGCTATCACATATTAGTAAACCAAAAAGATTATTCTAAGATTGTAATACACTTTGTAACCATGTGAAACATTACAAAAGCTTGACAGGGGAGTTACAACCAACAACTGATAACCTTTTCAAGTCACTTAGGGAATTTAATGTCAGTGGAATATTCCTTATTTTGATTCTTAAATAAAGAGAAAATAACAGCCAATTTGCTGATATTTAAGAGGAATGCAAATAGTTTAATGTCTTACAGAACATTGATGCCAGTTCTCAGATTAAATATATATATTTTTAAACTCAACAGTTTATTGACTAACAAACTATATTGCAAAAAATTCTTAAAAGGTGTGTGAGAATATAGGAAGCAAGCTAAATATGACAGCATGTTCACACACTTCACATTCTAAAGCAGTTTCCAAAAGTCAAGCACCTTTGGAAATGAACCTGTTATATTTTTAATTTTATGGTAAATAATGAATCACACAGGCTTCTTATTTTATTTGTAATTCAATATTAGAATCACTGTTCCCCAGATTCTTTTTAAGTGGAAATGTGTGTGTAAATGTTACATCTATAATCAATAATGAAAGCATATGCAAAATACAAGTCAGAACCATATATGAAAGTTAAATACATGTATCATTACCAAATGGCATACACGTCACTTATACGCACACATATATAAAGGAAAACTGTCGGAAAAAAAGTTACCAAGATCAAGAAGACAAATTTGCTGGTTAACCAGTTGTTTTGAATGATAAGTTAATTCAAATATAAATAAATAACAATTAACCACTCAGTGCTAAAATAAGTAAAACTGTTAAAAAATGTATTTTCCTAATTCTGGTGTAGTGATCCAGTTTACAGCATAACAACTGTTGTTCAAGCAAGTTAATAATATGAATAGCCACTCAACTGCTACGTCTGTTGTTTCCCAGTTAGCCTAAAGGTCCATGGTATTGGGTCAAGGCCTTGTGGGCTTAAATATAACAGATATATTGTGGTTGGTGTATTATTATTATCATTATTATACACTCTCCTGTACTTTCAGTCAGTTCTTATAATTAGTGAATGTTACAACATAGTGGGCATTTGAACTATTTGTTAATCAATAAGCTATTGAAACATAAGTGGATACTTCTGCAATTCTACTCTATGTAGAAACCAGACACATTACATTTATCATTGCAGTTTTGAATGTATGTCACATATGAGTCTATATTCTTCTGTATCTTTTTGTCAAAGTGTTTTACTTTAGGTTTACAATTATGTATTCTGGAAGGTTTGTATTAAATACACAATATACATGTAAACTACAACGTAGAACACCTTAGCATTATTTCAATATTTCAGTAAGTTATAATGGTTGTTAGCCACCTAATTTTGAGTAATTATGTATCACAAATTAAATATATTTATTTACAAAAGCACATTAAGCAATGGTGATCTAAGGCACAAATCACATTTCCTCACCCCTTTTAACATTCACATCACACAGAAGTAGCACCTTTGCTGTAAAGAATGCATTGATCCGATTGCTTGTGTACTGCAAAGTACAGCTTTTAATAAACACAAGTACTCCAAATAAATCCAAGTGTTTCTACATCTACAAATGCTATTAAATATTTCTCTTTACACACAACTTTTCACTAATCAGTTCAATTGCTGAAGTTTATTTACTCATTCTGGGATTTAACAAAGTCCCTTTAAAAATTACAGTAGCAAGCATTTCACAACAATTATAGTACATGTAAATAAAAAAATAATGATAATATAGTACTGCTATTTATACCTAAAATTTTACATTCTCATAAATGTTATTTTTTTCCATTTTTTTTTACATATAATGTCAACTTACATTTAACTTGATTAATCCAGTAAATCAACATATCTTTCACTGACCTTGAAGCTAAAGCTACCTTAATTTATGAAAAATATTCTTATCTGGTCCCATTTAAGAAATTCTTAAATTTTAGCACATAATTTGTTAAAAATGAGTAGTGCAAGCCCAAATAATATTTGTTAACAGAACGCTTTTCAAAAGATACTCGAAACCTTTTCTTAACCAGTTTTTACAAGAAAGATTTTAGCTTAGAAAAGTACCAAAAATATTTTGACTCTCAGAAACTTTTAAGTTAAATTCACATCTTTAACAAGAAATATTGAAAAGTGCTTATACTATAGTATTTCCTTAAAATGCTTGTTAAACATGCATGATATCCATTTTTCAAATAAAGAAAATATGCAAAAAAGACTAACAGTATGACTACTTTTAGTGTTGTAACTACAACTTAAAGAAATAATAAAAAAGACCCAAAACGTTTTTGAATAGTAAACTATTGTTCTTCAGAAGAATAGTCTGCTATTTGAAAGTGCTCAAATTTTGAATCTTTTTTGAAATTCTTTGTACCTTTTGTGTGTGATCCTGTGTACTAACTTTTTATCAGAACCACAACTTTAAATGTTGTGTTTTCTTACATTTAAGCAAAAACCTAATAATAATAATAGCAGAGCTATTAGATTGAAATTAACAGATATTAAAAGAAAAAACTAAAAATACTTGTTCATTGATGCTTTAAACTCACCATTTTGACACAAGGACATTTTCCAGACTCCATAATTATTTTGTTTGCTTGCTATATTTTTGGATGAGATGATCCAGACAGTGTTTGTTTGGTTCACCAAGTTCAAATACAATGAAAACTTTTTTAAACCTAAAGCACACATCATAAATTACTGTATACAAACAATGACAAAAATCACTTCATCTCATTACATTATAAATCAGAACACAAGATACTGGTACTTTACATGACTATGCTTCTAAAGAATGAATGTAAACAGTAAGCTGATTTTATATTAATCAAAGAAAAGCAAATGGTACCACAGATTTGAACCTGTGCAACTATAGGCTTTACCACAACCTTCAATGCACATTGTAAAATCTATAAAGTAAAGACTTCACTAGCAAACTTTAAAGACTTAATATAACATTAGCAGAAATCTAATGCATGTTTTATCTTGAAGCTTTGAGACAATCTCACAATTTGACTATTTTTAAGATACTAGAACAGCCATAAATTACTAACCTATTAAAATAGCTATATCCCTTCTAAATGTCTTTAAACTTTGCATTAACCTGCATGAAAAACTAAGCATCTCTGTTATGGAGTGCACACACACAATAAATGTATTTTGCCTATTTTGTTTTCTTTAGTATCAGGTGTTTAAATAGAAGAAAAAAACTTATATTTACTTATAAGGAATCATTAACCTAATGGGCATTTTATATGTTTGACAGTTGCCTGTCTTACAGTCTTTGAGACAGGTTTTAATAAAAATAAAAACTTTCTATGAAATGAAATCACAATTCCATTACCCATTGATATTTACTACATTTATATACTATAATGATATTTTTGCTAAGATCAATACCTTTCATCATTTCAAAATATTTCTGAAGAAAAAAATAACAGGAAAAATGTTACAATACCATTCATTGTGCAAGTTTAGTTTACTGCGCACAACTCACCACACACACACAAACAGTAGATCAATCTGCATTACTTAAATAAAACAAAAACATTTTAGGAGAAGTTAAAGAAAAATTTATAAAGTAAGTAAAATCAAATGCAGCGACACTTGCTGTCTGAAACTGCTACAGACTATTGCAAGTAAGTGAACCAAACCTACGAGTCAATCTGTATTATGATATTTCAGTAGGATATTACAAAAAGAAATTTAAATCGATGAATCTGATTCTGTTTTAAAAAACTAGTTTACATCATGACAAGGACAAATATAATATTTGAAATCAAGCTAATTATGTTTTACCAATTTTAACAGAGATTGTATAGGTGGACAAAATTATAGAAACCTGTATCTAACAAATGACATCACACTACAATTTTTAAATATAAGTTATCAAGAAATATTATCATTACTTTATTCTCACCCCTTTTTAGTTACCAGATGACACAATAACACAGCAATTTACCATGAATTTTAAACTTTTAACATTCTTCAGATCTATTAGATTAACACAATTAAACTATATGCATGCCAAATTGTAAGAACTCAGTATAACAATCGTTAATAAAATTATACACAAGTTTGGCCAAAACTGAATCTAATGACTTACGACATTCAGAATGTCATGATTCACAATACATCATAAGCCATTTAAATAAAACTAAATGCCACACTTTTAATATGTTCTATTAGTTTATCTTATTGCATGTTTACTAGTTCTGTTCCAAATATTAAATTATAAAAAAAATGGAGCCATGGATTTCAAAATTCAGAAAGAAATACATGGTACTTCAAAACATATTCTGATTCACAATAGGAAATTCTCTTTCACCGAACAGTATACATATTTAATACTTTCTAATGGAATAACAATAATGAAATTTCTACAACATAAGTTTAATATTAACATTAAAAAGTAGATGAAGCAGCAATATCTATTACTGTCTCCAATAAACTGTTTATAAGAGTTTTCCCACTTTAAAGGTAATGGGTTTGATTACCCTAACTGGAAGAAATCCAGGACTCAGTATGAAAATCCTGTATCAGACCCTATAAAAGATAGGAGTCTTAACACATTTACACATACATGTACTATTGTTTGTCCACTTTTCTCATAATCACTTGGATTTATCTACACGGAACAAAAAAAAATCACAAAAAATGTAATATATATATAATTAATTACACTATACCATCATCTTGTACATTTACAGTATTCGGGATATAATGGAAGTATTGTAAAAACCTGTATAGTGAACAGTAACTATGTAAATCTAATGTTTCTAAGCTAATTTTATCAATGAAGCACTCTAGCACAAGCCAGAACAGATGGTTTTAATAAAATAACCATGAAAGCCCATTAGCCCAGTCACTATAGGCTAACTTTATATAAAAATCCAATAATGCATGAAAAGCTTTTATAAGCAAGCCCAATATAACTAATTCTCTAAATTCTTTAAAATCAATTTTAAAAAATTATGCTTTTTCTACACCTGAGTTAGCCAAAAAAGCTAAATTCATAAGCTTCATCACACTGAATTCTTTAACTTGTTTTATTTTTTCCTAAAAGAAAAGATTCAGTGTGGACTTTACATTGAGTTCTGTTACTACTATTTACATGAGAAAGTAGCTGCAACCTTACACAATATTATAAGCATCTCACTAAAGCTACTGGAAACTATCACTTCTTGGTAAACCAAACACATCATTAGATAGCTTTGTTGAAACAGATACCTATCTAATGCAATTAATCAAACCTGATGTTGAAAAGAATAAAGACTTCAGAATGAAGAGCATATATGATTAACTTCCATTTAACAAGTTCAACAGTTTTACTTAGTTTGTAATCTATAATTTTCTCTTGTACATGGCAATCTACAGTGCAGCCCATGGAACATGTGGTATAACATCACATGCCAAATAGATGTACACTGATAAGGTAGATGATAAATTTATGCTTTTATATTATTTTTTAAGGTTTTTCCAGTGGTTTGACCAAATATAATTTATCTCCGTGAGGGCTAGTGTATATAGGAGCTCTCTTATAATGTTCAACAAGATCATCCAAAGACATAAAAGTGCGTTGGCCAATACAGTAAATTCCTTCTTCAACGTGAACTCTGAAGTGTTTGTTCCTGTTTGGTGCTTTCAGTGACACAGAGAAATCTCCAATCTAGTTAAAAGAAAAAAATAGTTTATTTTCTATTTATTTCCATATAACATTAAGGTATAATAACACTAAGGTTATATATTAAAATATTTATAATGTACTTTGGAGCTGCAGGCTATGTTATCAATTGAATGTACAGTAACTAATTTTATGTAGGTTAAGCTATTAAGAAGCTCAACTTCTGGGAAATAAAGGAAACTTACATTTGTTTCACTTTCTCGAACTAAGAAATCTCCATCCTGTCCATATTCATTAAGCATATTATCACACTGACTTCTTGTGACATTCCCAACATACCATGGTTTAGCTAGCAGATCTTGCCTTAAGACAGGAACTGGAAGAGAACCTCTGTTCTTAGCTGGTACTATTGGTGATCCTTCTGAAGACGTTACATCCATGTTGGATATTTCAGTCTGAATACCACTTAAATCTATATCTACAACTGCAGAACCACCAATTGCTGTACCAAGTGAAGATGAAAAACCCTTAGATTCTAAAGTTTCACTACCTTGTCTCAGTGTAATTACTTTAACGTAGTTCTTGGGAACTAATCCAGCTTCCCCTGTTTGGTTACGAGCTTTCCACCAACCTGGATCATTTGCAGGTCGATCAATTACTTCAAGATGGTCTCCTTTATGAAATGAAAGTTCTTCTTCATTTTGTGCAGAGTATGAATACAAAGCCAGGACTACATCCAAACATTCAGAATCTTTTAAAGTTCCAGTGGTTGAGCTTGTAGGAGTATAATTGTGACTAATATCATTCAGATCATCATGTTCCTCCAGAACATAGTTGGAAGGAAACCATCCAATGTTACCATCATACTCACCTTTCCACCACCCATCGCTTGATTTCTCCATAACAACAACCCGTGTTCCTTTCACCAAGGAAATTTCATCTGACTGTTGGGCTGTATAATTGTATTTTGCTAATGCTGTAGTGGTCACCATAGCTTTATTCTTAAGGAAAGTGTTGTTAGGGGTAGATGTACTGATGTCAATATCACTATTTATAATAGGTACAGCAGCTGGAGACATTTTTGACTCGTTTAGTTTCTTGACCTTTCTACGAAAACTATCAAATATTGAAGGTTTTTCACGCTTTACAAAGTTTGAAGGAACAAACCCAGATTGGTTTTTTGAATTAGACACTTTCCACCAGTGTTTGCTATCATCTAATAAAAGAAGCCTCTCACTTTTTCGAATGTCAAGTTCCTGGCTAGCCTGGGCTTGGTAATCATATTTTGCTATCACATAAACATCCTCTCCACTTTTACCTGAAAACAAAAAACAAGTAAATTTTTAATGTTTGTCTAATCAGGTTCTATGTTTTTTATATATATCATTTACTAACATGCTGCCATGTCATCTATACATTTTTATGCCAAAGGTGTACATTGTGAAAACAGAGGAATCAAGTGTTAAACAACAAAAAATATAGCTAAGTCACTGAAAAATAAGTATCCTTAAACAAAGTAGTGAAAGTTTAGCCAATTGTTTATTTTTGTCAAATACAATATGCTTTTTAATAAAAATAACATACCATTATCTCAAACATTCATTCTTTGATTTTGCTAATTAACACACATGCATAAAAAAGAAACTTTAATCCACAAGTACATTTTTTAAACCCAGTGCTCTCTTAACTGATGCCAGATAATCTTTTCTTTAACTTGCAGAACAAATGCTTTAAACATATTGCACTACCATTAATGTGATCAATCAACATCCAGAATATCACATAAATAAAATAAATTTCCTTCCATGTACAATTCACAAGATATGACGCAAATAGTTTATGCTTTGAGGAATACTGAAAAATAGCTTAGTTTCTTTAATTAAAAACTGAAAGTTTTTGCAACAAGTTGTTACAGTAATAATAACAGAGTTTGGCTGCAAATAGTATGTTAAATATCAATAGTATTACAGAGTATTTATTATATGAATACAAAAATTGTATTTTAGGTTTTCTAAAAGAATATAAGTAAAAAATGAGGTAGGAATAAATCTATTTATAAGATGTAAGCTGATGAGAAAAGTATCACTGAGACATCTGACATTTTCCATAGGCACTAACAGGTACAAACATGTACAACCAGACTAGTTATGCTTCCAGCACAAACAAGGAAAACATGTGCATCAGCTTCAACAGTTGCAAGCCACTACATTATTCTGGCATATTAATCTTCCTATTTTCACCTTTTTTAAAAGTAATTACCCTTTCTTTCATATAATGCACGTCTTCTGCAGGTTGTCATTTGCGTATCTTGCACAAAGCACATTTTTGGCTAAAATATATTTTGGCACAAATGTTTTTAAAAGGTAATCTGGACATTTGCTACTTAGCAAATCATTAATGTCCACCACAGATGACCAAGCAATCACCACTTTATAAAATATACAGTAATCCCCCATTCGTATTTTGTAAATGAAATAAATTGATAAATAATACAAAAGGGATAACTACATAAAAAGAAGAATTGCCAAAAGTTGCTTAATCAAAAGCCTGCCTAATTTCAACACCTCCCAAGATCACTTTAAACTTAACTTCCTGACCTCCTGTGTCCTTAACTCTTTCAGCATGGGCTCAATCCTTAGGACCGACATTGTAACAATTTTGTGCTTGTTATAGTTTTCATGCTATAAGTTTTAAATTAGTAAGCATATGTTAATGAAATTTAGGCAGATTATCAGTAAACATTACAATGCTTTCATACACAAAATATAATTTTTTTTTTATTAAGTCTTAAAGTTTGTAAAGCAATGTTTTTCTCATGCCTGTTTTTTCTTTTTGTATGTTGCCTATCTAATAGGCAAAGTAATTTTCATTTCAAGATTAAAAATATTTGTATACATCAAAAAATTTTCAAATTTCACATGTGAAATCTTTGTAATGTCTAGAGAATTATCAAACATTTCTCATGAAAAAACTTTATACTTTTGTGTGTTATTTTCAGTAATAAACCTCTGTACAGGTTTGGTCAATTAGACCAATCTCGTAACCATGTAAAAAAAAAGTAGGAAATAAATATAAATCAATCCTTTTTCATTCTAGAATGACTACAAATTATAACACTAAAACAAACGTTTCGACTAAATAGCTTAAATATCATAAGATTATACATTTATATATATTTATAATTATTATATTGACCTTTCAGCCATGCCTGGCTAACAATACATAAGTTACAAAGACACAGTGCACGTGCACTCATGTTACTGTATCCAATAATACAAAACTGACCTTTAGTCTTTACAAAGTGACCTATCTTGGCTGTGTTTTAGTAGACTACTATTTTGTAAAATGCAGTCACATTTCAATTATTATATATGTATATAGATTACTGCTATTTTGAAACAAGTTTTTAAACTTATTTTTTTTAAAACATAGAACAGTAAATAAAGAAGTAAAGCAAACAATTAACTCTTCTAGTTATGACCTTTGTACTTGGTTGCTGCCTGACATAGATTGCCAAGCCTTTTAAAATTTTGCACGTGGGGGATATGAAACAAAATCATTTTTAGGTTTTATATATATAAA